CACACACCACAAAGACACACAGACATAGACACACACACACACACACATGAAGGAGGTCGGCCACTCACATCAGAGAGAAACTCAGGACCTCACATTTCCTGCAAAAACCTGCTTTTTTGGTAAAGGATGTGGCACAGACATATTTCCATTCCAACAGGCACAGAAACACTTTGGGGGCTTGTGACTGCCATTGGGGACACATCCAGTGGGGCTGGGGTGGGTGCCAGGGCACGGACCTCACCATCACCACCACACCCCCAGCCCGGCCCGAGCTGACGCCACTTGGCCACACACGACTCACACACTGGCCCCTGCCTGCTGGGGCCCACACACCAGTGGTGAAGCCAGGATGGTCATCAAGACCAGGGAGGAGGCAATGCCCTGGGTGTGCGCTTCCTTCTCTCAGGGCTCGGAGACATAAAGCCATGCCCGTCAAAAGTTTACTACAGGGGCCGGAGTGACAGCACAGCAGGGAGGGTGTGTGCCCTGCACGCAGCTGACCCACTTCAATCCCCAGCATCCCACATGGTCCTTGAAGCACTGCCAGGAGTAACTCTCTGAGCACAGAGCCAGTAGTCAGCCCTGAGCATCACTGGGTGTGACCAAAAAAAAAAAAAGATTAAAAAAAATCTCTAAAACACCTTACCTTGCCAAGCGAGATGCCCAGAATAGAATCGTGAAGGAAAGAAGTGAGGCGAAACTGGGTCAAACACACACACACACACACACACACACACACACACACACACACACACACACACAGAGTCACATTCACACGTGCTTTCATCATAAACACACACACAGGAGGCCTGTGCCCTATCCGGTCTGCAGGCCCAGGGCTGAACTCTAGCCCTGAGGGTGCTGGGCTGAGGCCTTGCCTGGCCCCGGGGGCTGGAGACAGGATGCGGCCACAAGGGTGACAAAGGCCGAGTGGGTTCTGGGGGGCCAGTGACATCCTAGGATGTGGGAACACAAGGAGGCTGTTCCACGGCACTAGGATTTGAGATGGCGCCCCCTGCTGGAAGGGAACACCCCCCCCCCCCCCCCCCCCCCCCGCCCTCACGGGCCCCACCTGCCTGCAAGAGAGAAATGAGGGGTTACAGCGAAGCCCGTGTCTGGGGCCGGGGACGGCAAGTTGAGGCACATGATGTCACCAGGGAACGGGCACAGGGAGCCCGTCATGGAGAGGCCAGGCCACGAGCCAGCCCGACATCTTAGCACTCGCATGCGTCTGGGGTAAGGGTCTCTGCGGCGAGGCGTCGCCACTCCTGCGAAGCTGCTCTCTCTGCTCTGCTCCCGAGGGAACCTGCCAGGCCAAGCACAGGAGCCGCCCCCAAGGATGAACCCCGGCAGCGCAGAGCCCCCAGGAGGGACCCGTGCGAAATGACGCCTAGCTGGTCCCCATCTGATTCCCCTGACCCCTGGAGACTGACCACAAGACTTACTGCCCCTCCGTAACTGCTGTCCCTCGTGGAACCCTTAGCCTCTGCCGCCAAGGGAAACTGCAGCTCGAGGATGACCAACACCTGGACCAACGCCACAAAGCCAAATTACAACTGGTGCAGAGCCAAATTACAACCGCGGCTGCCTCCACCACATGGCAGGATGACCATGGCGGGATGACCGTGACCGTCTCCACACAGCGGGGTGACCATGACCGTCTCCCCCACACCGCAGGAGCACACACTCCGCAGCGCATTTCAGCCTTCCATTTCCTTTCACCCGATCTTATCCTCACAGTCCACCCACCCCATGCCCAGTCCTCACGGACACCCCACTCCAGGAGCCCATTTGCGCCTCAGTGCACTGTCACCGATTCCACTTCCCCCGGGGGGAAGGCAGAGGGCCCGCGCCATGCTCTTAGGCCCTGCAACCCTGTCCTTACCGCAGTGCTCACCAACCCTGCCAAGCTGCCGTCCTATGCCCGACCACAGGGCGAGCCCCTCGGGCAGGGCCCAGCCATGCTGCCTGGGCAACCCCTGACACTGGCCACGCCTGGGAGAGGAATGAGTGGTGCCGAGGGTGCACAATGCTGCACACATGTGCACCTATGTGCGTGTGTGTGTGTGTGTGTGTGTGTGTGTGTGTGTGTAAAACCACCCCCAATGGACCTGCTGCCGACCCTTTCTCCGGTGAGCTCCTGTAGATGTGGGGGGGGGGTCTCCCACAGACAGGGGAGAGGATGTCTCCGCAGATGCGGGGGGTGTCTCTGCAGACGCAGGGGGATGTCTCTGCTGCAGAAGTGGGGAGGACGGGGCGAGAGCAATAGCACAGAGGGGGGGGCATTTGCCTTGCACACAGCCAACCCAGGTTCGATTCCCTGCATCCCATATGGTCCCCCGAGCACCGCCAGGAGTGATTCCTGAGTGCAGAGCCAGAAGAACCCCTGTGCATTGCTGGGTGTGACCCAAAAAGCAAAATAATAATAATAAAGAAGTGGGGGGATATCTCCGCAGATGTGGGGGGATGTCTCCACAGACATGGGAGGGTGTCTCCGCAGACATGGGAGGCTGTCTCTGCAGAAGTGGGCAGGGGACATCTCCACAGATATGGGAGATATCTCCGCAGATGTTGAGGGGGATGTCTCTCCAAACGTGGAGAAAGGTTCCACTCCTGGAAGCCGGTTCCAGTCCATCTGGGCCCCACGGCGCATGACCCTCGCAGGGTGACTGCATGGGAGCGGGCCAAGCCAACACGGACACTCACGACGATCCATGTCTTGTGGTGTGACTAAAACTCACAACTTTCCTGACGGGGAGGAAGGCTGCCAGGCTGGGAGGAGCTGGGGGTCCCACAGTGCCTGGGAAGTAGCCACTGTCTGTGACAGCTGAGCCCCTGGGAGGAGTTCACTACTGAACCTCACCCAGGCCAGGAGGGCGCGAGGCAGGGCCCGGGGTCCATCCCTGGCACTGCCCAGAGCAGCTCTCCGAGTGGCGATTTCAAGCACTGTCCCTGGCTGGGTCAGAAGTACCCACGGGACACGAGGCAGATGGCAGAGCCGATGTGCTAAGGGGCTAGCGCTCCCGTGCAGATGGGAAAAACCCAGCAACCCTGATTCCAAATCCTCTTCAACCACTTTTGCTTTGCTTTTGGGCCATACCTGGCTGTGCTTAGGGCTTACACCTGACTCTGTGCTCAGCGATCGCCCCTGGTGGTTCTCAAGGGACCAGGGGGGCCGGGATCAAAGGCAGGTGGGCCACATGCAAGGCCAGAGCCCTGCTCCAGCCCCGCACACGCCCACACGGGGGGTTCTCGAAGCCCACCCGCCCCACGGCCAAGGTGATAAACGAATGGGTCGGCCTGCGTGGTCAAGACAGCAACTTGGTGGTCAGTCCATACCGGAAAATGACAGGAAACCCCCCAAATGCCACAGGCCAGGCAGTCCACATTTCTCCAACTTGTTCAACCTCCCCCACTACCCACCTGCGCCCTCTGAAAAGGGATCTAGGCTGGCGCCTTCTCCCCGCTGCTGACACCCGAGACGGTCATGTTCCTGGGACTATGGGTACAAGCCTGTCTCAGGTCTGGGGGCCGCCCCGCCCCCCCCCCCCCCCCCCCGCCTGGCAGGAAGTGACGTCAGACCCCAAGGTCAGATGAGAACCCACAAGGCAAGATGTTGCTGCGGAGGTGCTCTGGAGCACACAGTGAGTGGTCCTCTGTCTCGCTCTCAAAGTGAGCAGTGCCAAGCCATGGGGAGCCAGGCTGGGCGCTGGGGAACACCCTGTCTCTATCATTCAGAGCGCCCCTCGCCCACCCCGTCTGCCCCTGCACCTCCTACCTGTCAGCTGTCTGGAGAGGACCCTCCCAGCCGTGGTGAGAGCAGGACCCGTGCGACCATGGGTGAGGTGTGCGGGACACGCAGGCTGGGGGCTGCGGGCGTCCCTGCTGACTCCTCTTCAAAGGTCAGGGGCAAGAAAAAGACAGACCATACTATGGCCGTCCGCACCCACGTCAACACTGAGAAGCACCAACCTCTGGAGTGACTGGGCTGGTTTTGGTCTGGGTGGGTTTTTGCATGGAGGGGGGAGGCTTTTTGGGTCACACCCAGCGATGCTCAGGGGTTCCTCCTGGCTCTGCACTCAGGAATTACTCCTCGCGGTGCTCGGGGGACCATAGGGGATGCTGGGAATCGAACCTGGGTCGGCTGTGTACAAGGCAAACACCCTCCCCACTGTGCTATCGCTCCAGCCCCCGGAATGTGGGCTTATCTGGGGCTGCCCCAAAGGTGCTGAATGTGCCCCAGGACTGAGTCTCCAGCCTGGCTGGACAAGAACTACTGGCAGTGACTCCTGGACCCCTTGAGCAGTGCTTGGGGGTTGCTGCCACAAAATAAGGCTAGAGAGCTAGCACAGTGATCACGGCCCTTGCCCAGCGGGGTCCCCCAGCACCACAAGTGTGGCCCCCACACCCTCTTCCAAATAATAACGACACCAGAAAATCTACTTCAAGGTCTGGCTGGGGCAGAGAGGAGGTCCCGGGGCAGTCTGTGGACTGGGTTGGGAGATGGAGGGGGGAGTGTGACAGCCGCCACAGCCCAGCCCACCCGCTCCCCCATGGGCTTGTTCTTGACAAGGTTTGTCCCAGGTGCTGGGACGCTGCCGCGGTGGCGGGACACCTGCCTCTGGGCTGCTGGGCCAAGGCCCGGGCCTGAGACACAACCTCCTACATGGAAGGATGAGCCAGGGAAGAGTACACGTGTGTGAGTGCAGAGTCATGGGGACTGACATGTGCGAGAGAAAGAGAGAGAGAAAGAGAGAGAGAGAGTGTGTGTGTGTGTGTGACTATGCAGTGCCACAGGGGCTGGTGTGTGCGTGTCTGTCTGTGTGTATCTCCCTCGGTGCCACAGGGGACTGACCATCTGTCCGGGGAAGCTCGACTGCAGGTGCCGTCCACACTCTTGGCAGACCTGGGAGCCTTTCCACACCTCCCAGGCCCCCCTCCCCAAGTGCCCGCCCTCACAAGCCTGTTCGCGGTCCCCCAAAGCCCCCTTCCAGCCATACCGCCACAGGCCTGTCCCCCAGGAAGTTCAGGTCGCTGTTCTCGCCAAACAGGTATCCCTCGGGGTGAGTCGAGTCGAACTTCTCTCCTCCCATAATGAAGTGGCTGGCAAAGTAGCTTCCTGGAGGGAGAGACGGGGGGACGTCACACAGAGGCTGAGAGCCGATTCCAAGGCTCGGCCCCCGCCTCTGGATTCGGGAGAAGGGCACAGAGTAAGCAACACCGTGCCCAGAAGGCTCCAAGACAGCGACTGTGACAGAGACGCCTTCCCTGCCTCACATTCTCAGCCAAAGCCCCATCCTGGGTGATCTCTGCTCTCCCCACCCAGAGCAGATGGTCCCTGACTTACCCCCTGACCTCGAAGTTCTCCACTTATTCCAGAGGTGCTTTGGGAATGCAAAGATGGCACAGTGCGGAGGGCACTTGCCTTGCACATGGCTGACCCAGATTTGATCCCCGGCATGCCCTAGGGTCCCCTTAGCATTGCCGGGAGTGATCCCCGAGTGCAGAGCCGGGAGTCACCCCTGAGCATCACTGGGTGTGGCCCCAAACTAAAAAGAAAAAAGTGCTTTGGGGCCTGAGCAATAGTATAACAAGGACATCACTTGCTTTCCATGCAGCTGACCTGGGTTTGATCCCAGGTATCCCATACAGCCACTGAGCACCACCAGGAGTGAGCTCTGGGTGAAGAGGCAGGAGTGACCCAAACACTGCCGGGTGGGCCCCAAAGCTCTATATTTGTTTGTTTTGGTTTTCGGGCTAATCCAGTGGTGCTCAGGGATCACTCCTGGCAGGGCTCTGGGGACCTACATAATCAGCTACCTGCAGGGCAAATGCTTTATCTCTCCAGCCCTGTACTCAAGTGCCTTAACTTAAGCGAGCAGTTTGCGTGCGCGCGCACACATACACATGCCTATATTTCTTTGCCAAGATTTCCTAAGCCAACTCACCCCCACACCCAGGAAACTCGGGGCCCAGCTGCCACCATGCGCCTGACTGTAGCAAACCCTCTGCCACAGAGTCGCTTCAGTTTCTAGTTTGCCTCAAAATGCAACTATTGAGGCTGGAGCGATAGCACAGCGGGTAGATAGGGCATTTGCCTTGCACACAGCCAACCCGGGTTCAATTCCCAGCATCCCATATGGTTCCCTTGAGCACCACCAGGAGCAATCCCGGAGTGCAGAGCCAGGAGTAACCTCTGTGCATCGACGGGTGTGATCCAAAAAGAAAAAAAAAAAAGGACAAACAAACAAAAACAACTATTCCTGAAAGGGAATCAGATCAATCCACTGGCCCCAGCTCCACCATCCAGGTGCCACACAGGCCCTGATGGTTTCTGGGCCACAGCAGTCCGGCCACACCCTCTCCAGCCCAAGGCCATTGACAGCGCTGAGGGCCCAGACATCAGCGCCCCCATGCGCAGGCAGTGGCACCACAATAACAGGATGCAACCCACAGGCAGAGGTCACTCTTCCACCCCCGGCCTCCCTGCCACCAATCAATGCAGGAACTGGGCCAGGGTGTACGCCCTGAGTCGCAGGAGGCAGCGGGGGGAGCACAACACAGCTCCCTGTGGGGCACCACTCGGTCAGGGCTATTCGGGGTTCTGGGTGGGAGTCGCTCCTGGCTGTGCTCGGGTCCACGCAGCCCCAGGGATCCAACCCAGGGCTCCTATGCACAAGTGCACGGGGCGTCTCTCTGGCTGCCTTCGCGGGATCTGCTTCTGGGGTGATGGGGAGGCATGACAAAGATTCCCCACCATAGCATCTCTGATCAGCGTTCCCTGCCCCACTGCTCGGACACAGTAAACCTCAACTTCCTGACTGGAGACAGTACAGTGGGTAGAACACTTGCCTTGCCATGGCTAACCTGGGTTCAATCCCCAGCACCCATATGGTACCAAAGCCCACCAGGACAAAGTCCAGTGCATAGCAAGGGGTCACCCCTGAGCATTGCCAGGCGTGGCCCAAAAACCAAACAAGTTTTTTTTTAGTTAAAAAAAAAAGGGGGGGCTGGAGCAATAGCACAGCAGGTAAGGCGTTTGCCTTGCACGCAGCCAACATGGCCGACCCTGGTTCGATTCCCAGCATCCCATATGATCCCCCGAGCACCGCCAGGAGTACTTCCTGAGTGCATGAGCCAGGAGTAACCCCTGAGCATTGCCGGGTGTGACCCAAAAAGCAAAAAAAAAAAAAAAACTTTCTGGGGCTGGAGTGATAGTACAGCAGGTAGGGCGTTTGCCTGGCATGCAGTCAACCCGGGTTCGATCCCCAGCATCCATTATGGTCCCCTGAGCACCGCCAGAAGTAATTCCTGAGTGCAGAGCCAGGAGTAAACCCTGAAAATCGCTGGGTGTCACCAAAAAAGCAAAAAGAAAAGGAAAAAAAAAACTTTCTCACTCAGTTTCCTTTCTTTCCCCCCCAGTTTTTGGGCCACACCCAGTGATGCTCAGGGATAACTCCTGGCTCTGCACTCAGGGATCACTCCTGGTACTATGTCCCAGATGGAACCCAGAGCTCAAACTTGGGTCAGTTGCATGCACTATCCTTATACTATCTCTCCAACCCTTCAGTCTCCATTTTTGCTGCAGGTTTACAGCAAACTGAAAAACTGGGAGTTTCAGCCCATGAGGGAGGAAAACTCTTAACAGAAAAACCAAACAAGATATTCTGCCCCGAGGGGCTGGAATGATGGCACAGAGGACAGGGCGCTTGCCTTGCAAACAGCCAACCCAGGTTTGATCCCCGGCATCCTGTATGGTCCCCCAAGCCCACCAGGATCGATCCCTACGCACAGAGCCAGGAGTAAACCGTGAGCAAGTCCTGAGCATCATCACCGGATGTGGCCCTAAATCCAACCACACACACACACACACACACACACACACACACACACACACACACACACACACACACAATTCTGTCCTGCATTTTCTTCAGGCAGCGCCCAGAAATACAGATTAAACGAAACAACGTGAGTAAAAATCTTCCCCACCATGCAGGCCTTAGTGAGACAACAGTCAGGAGAGCACCATTCAGGAGTACAATCAAAGCCCTCACAGAGGAACCACCACGGGGACGTGACCGCAGAGAGTGGCCATCTGTAGGGGACAGCACACCAGGCAGCCGGGAAAGCCGGAGATGAATTATTCACGGCCGCCGGCTGCTCGTTCATTCCTGGTGCATAATTCATAGAGAGGGAGGCGGCGGCCGCACCAGGAGCAGAAGTGCCTGGCTCAGATCACTGACGCCGGCCAGCCCTGACAGACAGGGTCCAAATGCAGGCCCGGACGCCATGAGGCTGGACAGCAGTCCCTGGCATGTCAGGTGCCACCTGGTGGTCCTCAGGCCTGGCTGGGCTAGAGCAGGGCCGAGCACCCAAATTCCCACCCAGTCAGCCTACCCTGCGTGGGGCAAGCACCCCAGGAGCAGCCCCGGGGAGTCCTCTGGAGGCAGACGGGCGAGGGCGTCTGCCTGGCATGCACACAGCCAACCCTGGTTGGGTCTCCCAGCACCTCTTTTTTTTTTTTGGCTTTTTGGGTCACACCCAGCAATACACAGGGGTTACTCCTGGCTTTGCACTCAGGAATTATTCCTGGCGGTGCTCAGGGGACCATATGGGATGCTGGGAATCGAACCCGGGTCGGCCGCGTACAAGGCAAACACCCTCCCCGCTGTGCTGTCGCTCCAGCCCGTCCCAGCACCTCTTACAGCCCCGTGTCCCACTGGAAGGACTCCTGAACACAGAGCAACTGGACTGAACTGAACAACTGAACTTCAGGTGTCCTCGAATACGCTAGTCTTGTATAACCAAACAATGCAATCTTTTACATAAGTATACAATTAAAATTTTCAAGCCATCCCACACATTGAAAGTAAAACGAAGCTCAGACACAGTCGAATGCTCCCAGACAGAGCCGCCCGGCATGACCCCGTGGCCCCACTCCAGACGCCTGCCAGGGCTGGTGAAGGGCTCGGTGGCAGAGCAAGTGCCCTGCAGGCTCCGAGCCTCACGCCTGTGCCACCCTCTCCTGAGTGACCCCAGAGCACCCGAGGCAAGGCTGGGTGTGGCCCCCAAACCAAACCCACTGCAACTCGACTGCATTTCTCCAGTGGGGTCCAGCCCCCGGGGAAGGCAAATGCAAATCTCTGTGTAGGTGACAGTTCCACCCTGGACGATGATCACACTGTTGGTGGCAGACCTGGTATTATTCTGAGAATGTGGTGAGAGCAAACAAGTCATTTCGTGACATTTTAATTTTACTCTCTCTGGTTTCATTGAGAATCACAGAAAAAGAAGGGGGGAAAAACCACATGAATTTAAATTAGAAGTATGAATAAAAACTCCCCGTACATTTTTAGGGGGGGCATGGGGAGGGCCACACCAGTGATGCCTGAGGGCCACTCGTGGGACACCAGAGCTGAGTTCTAGCCCTTTGTTCCAAACCCTGGATCATACCTCTTGTCTTATCTCTGCAGACCACCTTGTTACACTGCCCACTGGAATGTTCCAGAAATAATGGCAGCGGGGAGCACGGTCAAGAGCCATTTCTGGCCGTGGGGAACAGCACTGTGAGACCAGGGTCTGGGCTCCTAGGATACAGCCAAGCTCAGGGCAGGAAGAAAGAGAGAAACATGGCCTGCCTTGGACCTGCTAACAGGGCCCCCGAGGGCCATGACAAAAGGCCTCAGCCGTGGGAAGAGCATGTCACTGACCAAAGAGGGGACATCGCACCTGAATGACCCAAGGGTCTCCAATGTAAATAATGGTATTATTTGTTTGTTTAAAAAACCTTTTTTGGACTTTTGGGTTACACCTGGCGATGCTCAGGGGTTACTTCCGGCTCTGCACTCGGGAGTCACTTCTGGTGGGCTCAGAGGACCCTATGGGATGCCGAAATGGAGCTCAGGCCAACTGCATGCTAGGCAAACTCCCTACCCACTGTACTACTGCTCTGGCCCCAGTGATACTTTTTTGAAAGAGAGAGAGTAGAAAAAATGTGGGGCCAGAGTGATAGTATAGAGATAGGGCACTTGCCTTGCACACAGCTGACCCAGGTTCAGTCCCTGGCATCCCGTAGGGTCCCCTGAACGCAGCCAGGAGTGATTCCTGAGTGCAGAG